GTTATTAAACTTAGAAAATTAAATATAAGGAAGTTGTCATCCAGAATTGTAAATTGAAAATGTTTCCTTTAATAGGCTGTTGCAGTAAAACATATGTCCTTAACATTTCTTTCATTTACTTTTACTTTTATACTTTAAGTAGCTTTAAAAATGTTACTTTTACTAACTTTGCTTGAAAAAAAATGCTTAGGTTGCCCTTACACCAAAAGTATAATGGCTGCAAAGGTTTTTTTCAAACAGTGGGATTTATACTTCTACTTGAGCAATAAATATTAATGAACTGACCCCCGATCTTATCCACTCTCATCACCCTTAAAAAGAACCTCAAAGTGTTCATTTCTGCTACCTACAGTTCCTGTCGCTTCCTCAGTGCCATTGTCCTAAACCATACAGCATTGCTGTTTCCATCATTGCCTTGTAAATCTTTCCTTTAATTCTTAAACTCTTTAAATACACACCTTTGACACTTTTCTCCAGTTGCTCTAACCTGCTCGCACCTTGAAGTGTTCTGCTATCCTAAAACAAACCTCACCACTTTTATGCAGCTCTCATCCATGCCTGTCTCCACTCCAACAGACTTTGCTGCTGCTCAAGACTTCCTAGTGCAGTAATACATCTTAATCTATAATTATTCTTCATTCCAAACAGTTTTTACGAAGAAACTGAGTGTAACAAACAAAATGCACCTTATTGGATTAATCTTTGCTCATTAACAATTATATATTTAATATTTCCTATATTGATATTTACTGTTTAAAATATCAGCCAATTGTCTCAAAGCAGAAATTAAGACTTTTGGAAATAAACTTGAATTTTTATCATAAAAATTAAGATGGAGTCAAGTAAAATGTTCTTCATTAGTCACTTTTTGTCCTATTGTTGGTTGTGTATAGAGTTGTTTTATTTTACCTTATTACAGTTCTGAGTTATAGATTTATAGCGTTGTTGTTTTTTTTTTACTTTTCACTGAATTTGTGATTTATGTGTGTCCATTTAAACTTGGTTGCTTTATGTCAATTTTTAGTAGATCCGTTGGTGTCTGTTTTCCATTAAAAAATGATCAATCGATTTAAATAATAAAAATAAAAAATTTAAAAAGATTTTCAAAAGAAAATCTGTTGTTTTTTTTTTTAGCAATTTAAGATGCTGCATTTTCCTTTAATGCATAGTTCAAGCTCAGAACTACTCAACAGAAGCTTTATATTAAGTTGATGTTAACAGACTTGCATATAGACGCCATTATTGAACACTATACAAAGCATCATCCAGACTGAGATCTACCACCTGGATTTAGCATCTGTCCTTTAATCATCTATCAGATGGAACGTCATAAAGGTTCTCCTAATGGCTATCGTCTAAATACATTTTTTCTGCAAACCTAGAAAGCAACTCATTTATGTTTTAACAGTCTTCTAAGTACACGGACATGCAAAAATCATGTGGGGGGCTTCATGATGAAAATGAACTTGTCTACCCCTGTGTTGTTGTTGTGGGTATCTTTAAAAAAATTTTGAAATCACAATGAAAAAAAAACAATCAGTCGACCCTTCATATAGAAGGAGAGGATAATTTATATCGTGTCAACCATCATTGTTGGTGTAATGGTCTAATTCATTAAAACCCACTAACAGACACAGCTGTGCAAGGAGTAGAGGAACTTTAAAGCAAATATGAGATATTATATAGATATATTGACTGGTCCCTAATTGGAAGCTACTTAAAGAAAAGCACATAAGTACTTTAGTTTTACTTCCAGCTCTCAATAGAATGAAACACATTAACATTTGGAATCAGACCGCATTTGGTTTACCTTATTATTTTGGTTGAATGTTATAACAGGCTGCCATGCAAAGCTGAGGGAAAGGGGCTGAGGATTGTAAGCGGCTGAGAGCAGCTTGCTGTGTGTGAAAGTTGAAAATGAGAGAAGAGAAAGGAAAAAGCACATGTGAAAACGAATAGAGGCAGAGGAAAAAACAGCTTGGCTTATTTATTGGATCCTATATTTGCCCGTGTATTTGGTAGTAATTACACTCTAATGACAAGTGGGATTTTTTAAAAATGGCAAATTGAAATACAAAAAAAAAAAAAAAAAAAAAAACAATTTCAGAGACCCTTGAATACATTTGGCCCTGACTGATGTGAATGATACTATTTTAGGTTACAGCTTTATTTTGCAATTAATGACCTGTCCATTAAAGTGAGCTTCATGCACCGATTGTTATATTTGAAGTTAAAGTCATACATTAACTGTGACTGTGTTGTTTGTGAATATATTTCAACTGCAGCAACTATATCTGCTGTTAAAAATAGAAGTTTCTGTCATTCGATGGTAGCATATATTTTGTAAATTGATAGTATTTGTGCACATTAGTTATATATTAGAAAAATTACAGTTTATATTATTTTAAAAGGCTAAACTGCAGTAAAATGAAGTCCTACAGGTAGGGGAGTCAACTTAATATAAATCAAATAAGGGTGATACTAGCATGAATGTTTGGCATTTGCTTAACGTTTTGTTTTTGTAAACATCCAGTCTTTTCAGGGGTGGGGGGAACAGATATTGGATTAGCTATTGGATGCTTTGGTATATTGCCACGGTTGAGAAACCTCTTTAGTGTTACAGGAAGAAAATCAAAACCAAATTCAGAGTGGTAGTGTTCTGATGTGCTGATTTTATGGAATATCCAGTGAAATAAAGAACCCAAAGAGCTATGTCCACATTTTTTGTACATAGTCAAACTTGTGTTAGGTTTTGTGGTCTGTGGACACAGTCTCAAGTCTAAGTAGAGGAATCGGACTGGATGATTAAATTAGAAATGTTATATCCAGGTGATACATTTCAGTCTGGATGGTGCTTTGCATATTGTTTTTCAAGAACTGACTTTGAATGTTACAGATGAAGTGACAAGTGGAATTGATGGTACAGGTGATGCAGGTGAAGAGCCTGAGAAAGCTGATGGTTTGTATTCTAACAGAGCATCAAGAAAAAAGACAGCAAATTATGAGTTACAGGAAACCCCAACAAAATGTTTAATTGTACCCATGTTTAAAGCATTATACAATATGGTTATTAACAAACAGTTAAAAAAAAAGAGTTACAGTAAGATCAAGAGCAGAATCAGAACTTAAAAATTCAATACCAAGAACAATAATAAAATATGGTCAAAAATAGTGATATTAGGAAAACAGCACCTAGCTATTATATTTCTTAATACCATATAGGTTTTTATATGAGGAATATGTCCATGAGGGACATTTAAAAATTAGTCAAACCTGGAATTAAATATGCAAAATTACTGATTTATGAAAATGTTACTTTTTAGTTAAGTTTAACTGCATTTACGAAAAATAAAACCATTACCTGCGTTTATTAGGTGCAAAACAAAAGTGCCTTTGCTTACAGTACAATGAACAGAGTTAATATAGAAAAAAAAAAAAACAGAACAATATTAAAAACTGAGCCACATTGCATAGTTCTGGCCTGTACATGGTAAGAGTTACATTGATCTCAGTGTCAAAATTTCATTTAAACGTAAATTTTACTTCAATTAGAGTCGATTTTTTTTGTCAAATTTGTTTGAATATAACTCAGAAGATTAAGACCAACTCTTGAATTAAAATCCAGCATACAACACTGGAAATCTGACACTTTTGAAACAGCTTCTGCAAAAGTTCCACTATTCTAATGTCATTATGCCAAATGCCTATCTCAACACTTAAATGAGTTATGTCTGACTAAACTGAGAACATTTTGGAAAACCAAAAATGTAAAAAATGAGTATGTGAAATATGTAATTTTTGCCAACCCTGACTGAAGACACATTTACAGAAGAGGATTAGGGCCACTGAAAAAATAAAAAAGTTAACTGATTTCTACATTTTATTTCAGTATAATATGAGAAAAAAGTCAGAATTCTGACTTTAATCTCAGAATTCGGACTTGTTTCTCAGAATTCTGACTGAATTCTGACAGCTAACAAACATGTTAGCAAAAAGCTGTAGCCATGTCTGTTTTAGAGACTAAACTAGCTCTCTTGTTTTAATCACCTTCTGCTCTTCCATTAATAAAATAGCATCACCTGGGACCTGATGCTATAGTATCTTAATTCCATCATTTTCCACCAATGTGTTACTGGCCCTCTTAAACAACTCACATCTTTGTCAGTGAAGTTGAGTGCTCCTACATCTCTAGGTTTATGGTGCCATCTACATTAAGATCCAAAATTCTGAGATTAAAGTCAGAATTCTGACAAAAAAGTCAGAATTCTGAGATTAAAGTCAGAATTCTGTGAAAAAAGGCAGAATTCTGACATTAAAGTCAGAATTCTGAGATTAAAGTCAGAATTCTGATTAAAAAAATTCAGAATTCTGAGAAAAAAGTTAGAATTCTGACTGTTTTCCCCATATTAAACTGAAATAATATTTAAAAATCTGTTTTATCAGTGGCCCTAATCCTCTTCCGTACACATTAGTAAATCTTGATTGATTTAATTTTCATCTGTGCATGAAAGGTAAAATGTATGTTAAATTTATGCATTCTGGACTTGATAAGCTATACAACCAAGTACGTATCAGACTGGAACAGTACAAGCCTTTGCCTACATTTTCCTCACAGGCTACATCGTGAATATTTATTGTTCTGGGATTAGAATAATAATAGAAAGGACAGAGATTATTCATAATATAGAGCTTTAAACAATAAAATAGCTACAACATCTAATAACTACGGCAGGAAATAAGCTATTATGGTCTGAGACGTTCCAGGAATGTTCTAGCAAACTGCTGGAGCTGTTGTTTCGCCAGGAATCTTTCAGGGCTGTTAACATGACGCTGATTGTTTTGTGGATGAGATATCGATTCGGTTTTGTTTTTTCACGTTCATTTCCAGATGTTCCTCAACGAATTTAGCATTTATCGATCATTACCGTTACTCTGATCAGTGGTTGGTTTGACCGGCGTCACGACTACAGCCGTCACCTGGACTTCTGATTGGCTGAGAGCTTTCATCCGGGTACCGGGCTAGGACGAGCTCATTAGCTAAAGGTACCAATATGGCGGAGGTAAGAGGGAAAACAGGGGAGAAGCTCCCGGTCTTTAATCGATATTTTTTGCATTTAAGTGTTTTCGTTTTAATCTTTATGTTATCGATTGGGGAGATATATGTTTTTTCTGCACGTGTTGGGTGTTTTATGTCATAAATGTCTTTGTTATTTCTTTAAAATATGCTTGAATGTCTGAAGTGATCCTTCACTAGGAGGCCTCTGCGCCTTCGCTCTCAGCTGCTTCGCAGTAGCGGCTGTGTAAATTGATACGTAAATTTAACGCTAGCCTACTGCTTAAAGGAAATACCAGACTATTTCACGTTTATTATAGACTAAGTTTAGTTTAAAATGTTAGGCTAATTTTACGGAACATCTCTTTAGAATATCATTCTTTTCCGTCGATGGCGGCGCGATGCAAACCAAATTAGTGTTTACATTTGTCGATGCAGAGCGGTAACGTTAAGCATTTGAGCTTAGCTTGGCGGCTAGCAAACTGTTTCGGTAGTCGATAAAGCTCAGTTCGTGCTGTTTTCCCTTACATACGGGCCTTATTTATTTGGATGTAGTGAAGAATCCAACTCCTTCACATGAGTCTTAAATTACTTTATGATCTGTCTCTTTTCGGTGTTACCTGGTACAGGTAACAAATGCCATAACGCTATTTCAGATTATGTATTCCCATTGGGAATTGAACATATATTTTGAATAAATGTCTCGAAGTACGTCGCTGTTTCGAGATGCAAGATTTTAGATTGTCTGCATTTGGTTTCCATTGTAATCTAAAGTGAATGCGATCACAGTTTAATTCTTAAGTGTTAAAAAACCTTTTAATGATGCAACAATGGTGTTAGTTAGTTGAAGCTTTACTTTTTTTTAAGCTGAAATTCTGGTGTTATTCCCGATTTTTCTAAGCAAAAGCAGTTAAAATGATAAATATATACACGGAAATATATTCAAATTTTCTGTCATATTTAATTTTAGAAATGAATGTCATGCAATTGCTCTATAATTAAGGATATTTCTTTGACATCAAAATCAGTTTTCATATTTTATCTTGAAACAAAAAGATAAACCTCATATGTTTTTGAAATTAACAAAAACTAAAATATTAAAAATTAGCAGTTAAATATAAACTTTTTATGAATGCCAAGCTTTGCCTGAGCTAGTAGATCTACTAACCTATCAGCCAGTTTATTTGTGACATGTAAATTTTAGCATTTACCAACAGACCTTTCAATACATTCACAAACACTATTTTGCAAAAGCAAAAAACCTTTAAACAACTGGCATCTATAGACTGTATTAATGTATATTTCTTTGTGTTGTGATGTATTATCTAAAATGGGGCTACATGATATTATGTAAACCTGTGATACGCCATAATATTCACTGATATTGCTATGGAGATATCCACTTATGATTCAATATAGCCTTATTCTAGATCATTTAAATTAATCTCTTACCTTTGAAATGCTGTGAATATCATCTAGTTGCAATCTTAAGGCTACGTTCATTCTGCAACCTGATGTTTTCAAATCCAATTTTGTTTTGCCCATATGCGACCTGGATCTGATCTTTTCATGGCTGTCTGAACAAGACAGATCTGATTTTTTCCAATCCGACCCAAGCAACTTGGCTATGTGGTCCTGAATCCGATACGAATCTGATCGTTTCAAATGCGACCTATGTGTGAACGATCAGGCCTGCAGGTTCAACGTAGCCTAAGTATGCAGTACTGATGTCTTGCTGCTCTTGATTTATGGCACAAAAAAACCCCACAAATTATATAATAGGGTATGTTATAGAGATATACTAGTACATTGGGTGGACAATATTTTTGGTCTGTATTAGTTGCATTTAGGCCTGTCACGATAACAAATTTTGCTGAAAGATTCAATGTCTCAAAAATTATTGTGATAAACGATAATATTGTTTTAAGACCATTTTACACTGATTTAATGGACATGACATAATAATGCATGCATTTTCCTGCCAAAGATAAACATACTTTATTTTAAACAGAACACTT